TTAACAATTTATTTAAAAATGTTGGTATTACTTATAGTGAAAAATCTGACTTCACATTACTGTTTGATATTTACTCCAAGAACCTACATAAAAAATTGGAGGTGTTTTATCTTTGCCAGCAGAGGAAGATTTTTGCAACAAATAATTATTTCAAAATGAAGAGGCAAATTTAACACAAAATACAAAATTTCTTAGGGAATTCTCTACACTGCTAAGATCTGCAAGTCCTATCTTCTGCAAAAATTTAGGCAAAATGTTCATTGCATAAGAAAATGAATTGTATGAAATTATTGATAAACTTGAGACAATCAAATAACTTGGTACTTTTTTTACTTTTGACCTCCATATTTGAGCTTTCTAATTAAACTTTGAACTTAAATGGCAAAACTGAAAGTCCTGGTATTAAAATCATGACTTGACACGTCCTTGCTCCAATTAGGAGTGATGTGGGCTGACCAACCATTCAGACATAGTAATTGAGATAAGACTCTGAATAGTAGAAGTTTTCCTCCAACACAGCTTTCTGCTCCCACAGTAAAATAAAGGTTAGAAATCAGATCTGAGTGTGTCCTCCCTGACATCCCAAACTTGGACTGCTCTTATGACACACAAATTTCCCTTCCCTCTATATACCTATACAGCTTTTGACACTGTCTATACTAAATTTTAGATTCTAGATATCAGATTTCCACTGGAACCGATATGTAATTTAAGAAATTAATTAGAAAATACTTTCCCAACATTTAACAAAAGCTATACCACACGCTGATTCAAAACAATGTATTTCCAAAATTAGATACAACATTTGCTTTAGGTACCAGGATCTCTGAACTAAAGCTTTCTTCCTGTTATATAAAATTATTTAATAACTCCATTTATAGCCACACAGGTCACCTAATTTAATTTTATATTACACAAAACTGAATACGCTGTTATGAACTGTATTTGTTTAGCAACTCATATGTGCCTTCATGATTTTGAGGAACATTGTCCCTACTTAAAATAAGAAACCATAATAGCTAAAAGTGTAACTTAGTATTATTGTTAATTAAATCAGTCAATATAAATTACTATACAAAGCCTTGTATACAATTCAGAGGAGAAAATACAGCATTTTCCTTTCAGAACACACTCTCTGAAATAGAGATAAAGCTTCATTGATAATGTATAGCTGCAAGGCTTGAAGTTAAATCTTTGGTCAGAGATCAAAGCCAGCCAGTTCCACCAATATTTAATTGGGGTTGGCAGCAGTGGGGAATCAGTCCTGGTATATTCCATTCCCAAATTCCAAGAATTTTAACTGACACAAATGTTTACGATTACAATTCTGAAATTGTTCTTCATATAAGGAATATTTGTTTGTTACAAATATCATACAGACCTCATTGATTGAGTGTCCTGCAAAACATTTTTTTAATTGCAAATGCTTAAAATTCAGACTCTCTGTAGTCTGTCCTTTTTTATCTATGGTAGCTGGATAGAAGAGCAGTTCAGGTAGACTTTAAAAAAGGAAAATGCCCTCCAAAACATTCCTTTAATGATCACTTCTTATAGTTTTTAGTTCATTCAACTGGCAGATTTTCTCTCCTTGGCAGAGAGTGTATTTTACCCCAAGAAGTTCTTGCCTGCTACAAAAACTGTTTATTCAGTGCGCTCAGTGAAAGGTGTACTCTGCAGAAACCCCAAAGTAAAATTAGCTTGCACTCAGCTTTTTAATTAAATCTTATATATTTGACATTTAAAAAGTGAGCCTTCCCCAGTTTAAGGCTGTGGGATGACGTTAACTAAAAAAAATCCACCCAGAAACCTCGGACTGTACAAATGCTGTGCTCTGACAGGAAAGAGTTGATTAAGTTGACAATTTAAAATTATGAGGAAGGAAAGCATAGCATGTCTTTTTGGGGTTGTTTCATACTCTGCACAATAATCCACTTTCAAATGCTTGCAACTCTATCAATTTGTAGCTTTTGGGTTGAATTTTCTAAGCAGGGTGAATGACTTTAAAAGTTTGATGTTTTCTCTCACTCCTTTTCTTTTGGAAGATTTTTAAAAGAGGCTGTAGCATCCCTCAGGCTTCCTGCCCTGGCATGCAGAAGCTGTCTGGGAAGGATAAAGCCTTCGGCATTCCTCTACCATCAGTCCAAATTTAACCAGGCAGACCTCAAGAAAGTTCAACTTGTATGAAACCCGAAACATGGTTTTCACCTCTATTTCCAAAATCTGTTGCAAGCACTATCACTGAAGCAGCTGAATATGCCTCAGATGAATACTTAATAACCTGTTTTCAGCTTTTCTCTTTCTGGATATCACTCCTCAAAGACAGCTGTAAGAAAAGTTTCTCACAAGGTAGTGCTGCTTAGTTAAATAAAAATCTTACTTCTTAAGATATGGCTCAGTTGTTTTATTGTGCAATCTCAAATGGATCAGAACTCTGGAATAAGATCCCCTGGAGAAGAGGGTTTTATTTTAAGGTGAAACATAACGTCACATACACAACTCCCCTTTGTTCTGGCTGCTTTAGTTGCCTGGGTGATGCAACACTGATGACATTTCCTATAATGTGTATTAAGGGCCTGCTGCTGAACATCTTTATTGGTGTTGCACAGCTTTTCACACTCACATTTAAGTAGGTGAGTCCACACAGATGATGTGCTGCTCTCACCTGCATTTTTAGAATTCTGGAATTGCATCACAGTCATTGCTGCAAAGAGCTGAGAAACGTTTTTATTTCCCCCCCCACCCCAGTTAAATGTGGAAACACATCATTGTCTTGTCCACAGAGAGTGAGCTGTGGAAATAAGAACAATCTGTACTTCTATGGCTCTGCTCCTATTGCAAAACCTACACCAAGAAAGCATTTAAGCTTTCTCTTATGGCCAAGATGTCCATGAAAAAAAAAACCTATACCCACATCTGGTATTTGGCTGTATAAATGTGAAACATCCATCCTCAAAATTCCAGCTGAAATCCTTTTATATGCTCACTTTCCCTATGACCTTCCAAACAGAGGTCTCCACGACCAGTATTTCTTCTACAGGGGATTTGCAGGGGCAAATTTAATTGTGTGGCACTTCTGATGCTCTTCACTCTTCCAAAGGGCATTTTGAGGTAGCTGCTGGCTCTCCCCACCAGGAGTGAAGAATCCCCCACTACTCCTTTTACCATGAGAGCGAATGGTCCTTCTGAGGAATCCCCTTCCCTGCACGTGCCATGGTCACCATTTCCATCTGCAGACTTCTAGGTAGGCTTTGCTACATGTTTGAAACAAGGAGCAGCACTACTCCCTTACAGAATCTTATAGCAGAAGTATTCCTTTTAGGAATTGTAACCTGCTACTGATAAGCTTAAAACAGTATGTGAACAAGAAATTTAAGTTACTTCCGTTCTAAATGACTCTTACATCAGTAAAAATGCCTTGGGAAGGAAATTGAAGAAATAACAAATCTACTCAGGTCTTAGCAGAGATTAAAGCTTTCATCCAATGAGAAAACTTGGACTCAACTATCAATCCTCCAAAGAGGATCCAGATTTATCATTACTGTATGCTCAAGGCAATTTTTTTCTTTTGCCACTTTTTAAAACCACATAAAATTAATTTTAGAGGGAGTGGACCAGTGGGAATTCACTATTCCTTCGGAGAATTAAAAAAAGCTTGAGGACATTCCTTATGTCACTAATAAGAACTGGTATCACATGAAACCAGATCACAACACATGCTTTAACTACAGCAGGTCACAGTAAAGAGCATTTCTTCCTAAACAGAAAAAAATTATCTATTTCACTTCAAACTATCAAGTCAAGCCCCAGGGTTATTCTAATATAAAAGTTAGACAAGAAGCTGCTACTTATAAGGGGAAAACAGCTGTAACTGAATAAAACTTAAAAACTGCTTCCCATTATTTGGCTTGTGATTTTTACAATCAGCAAGGAAACAATTTGATGCTGTCTTCATATTTCAAAAATCATGGCATATGGGTAAAAAGCACCAGCCTAAGAAGCATTTCAGAACAATGGATCAAATCTCTATATTGTCCATGTACACACGATGGAAAAGCTCCATGGTTCAACACATTACATAATGTTTGCTTTCATTTTTGTGCCTTTCAATTCAGGCCCTGAATAAGAAACACCACAGGGCATTAAAATCTGGTCTCCCACAGTGAAATATTTTTTCTATTTCTATAGCAAGCATGTAAAATTCAACCAATTAATCCTGGAAAAGTTAACAGCCCAGCAGAATAAAGGAAGTATCAAAATTCAGGAACAGAGATTACAGTTTAATAGACCTCAAGAGCTCATCTTGAATTCAAGTGTAAGTTATTATCTGCAAAAATAGGAAGAATTAATTTTATATGATTACCAACATCTCATGAAACAAAAGCTACATTGAAAACAGCACACTTATCATTTTAATGTCTGTTTAGTTTAAGTAACACTAAATTAGCTTGACAACAAAACCAACACATATTAAATGCATTTATCTCGTTTTTAGATACACAGGAATATAATTTACTAATAATTATTCCACAAGGCTGAGTCAGTTATAACAATCTAGTCACATTGTCACATTGATATATATTAAATGCAGCAATACCACCAGATTTTACCATGTTCCTAACTCTAAGATCTATATTTATTTCTCTCAGAGGCTTGTGATTTATAGCTTCACATAAATGAAAAGCCACCATTCCTAGAACAGCCAAGTATTTAATATTTAGGAGGGGTAGCAGGCATCACAATGGAAGTACTTCTCCAGAAGTCATTGTATCTGTACAACATGTGGCAAAGTATTTTCCTAGAAAACTGACACTGGATCTAAAACCTGCAGTGTTTGTGAGCTTTAAGATGTATTTTCTTTCTGAGGTTCAGTCCTGCCACATACAGTGTCCAGAATCACCTCTGGGTTGTAGATTCTCCACTGTGTACCCAGAGTTTCCTGAATGCTTAAAAAAAATGGTGCTTTGCTTGTGTAATTACTGGAGAAACAGGCTACAGCTTACCTAAGTAGGGAATACACGGAGTCATCTTCAAGCTGCTGATATAGTCTCTAAGCCTTTTGTAATTATCTTCTTTACTCATAACATATTCCAGCTTGTCAAAGGTGGCTTTATCCTTCCGACTCAGTAACTAGGAAGAGAAAAACGAAGGCAAAACCAGATGAGTTTAAGTTTGATCATTATGATTTCCTCTCTTACCCTTACAAGCATAGATTTCCATTTCCCTGTTGTTGTTGCTGTGCTGTTTTTTTCTAGGTTTTTTTTTGGTTTTGGGGTTTTTTTTGTTTGTGTTTTTTTTTAAACTCAACTTCTTCAAAACAACATCACATTTACTCCTTAAAAAGGAAAACTTAGAAAGTTTTAGAACTTTCAAAAAACTTAGAAAGAAACAAAGAAAAGCAACAATTCTGGGTGTCAAATGTAAAAATACTTCTAAACATTAAGCAGGTAAAAACACTGGTATCCTGGAGGATCCTTCTGCAACAATGTAAGTTATCAAAAAATGAATCTAGCTATCACACATCACAACTTCATGTGCTGTCCACATCAGGAATATTCACACCAGTAACATTTTTACACTGATTATCCACAAGTGTTTTGGCTTGGGATGGAGTCAATTCTCTTCATAGTGGCTTGTATGGGCTGTATCTTAGATATGAGTAAGGATTTCATCTATGATTTTTTACAGAAGGCTCATGGACTTGAATTCATCTGCCAACTGGCAACTTCACTGGCTCTAAATATTACAGAAATGTTCACTTTGAACAGAATACTTAAAAGTCATGGTTCTCCTTCATTATCCATTCCTCCTGCCCCCAGTCCCTTCCTTTGACAGAACTAAAAAGAACCAGGCTCTCTTTGTAGGATGGGGAAAGGAAGCAAAGATATTTTCCAAACATCTTGCTGAACTGCTGCTGCAAAACTGCCTCAAAATCTTCACTTCAATCCAGAGTCAGAATTTAACAAAGGGTGTAAGGTGTTCCCACCAAACATTTTGGCAGGAGATTCAGCATTCCAAGTCCCAGTTACAACTTTTCCCCTACAATGCAATTACAAGGGTCAGAATTTCTACGCATATTTCCATTTTACTTCAGTTAAAGATCAACCTAGGTGAGCCTGACAGAAGTGAAATCTCCCTTCTGTAAATACACTGCTGAAATAATTTATTTTTACTTCCATTTCTCATATCCAAGTCTTCATGAGGACAGACAAAACTAAACACTGGCTTTCAAGAGAAAGCCACAAGTTGAAAGTGAATTGTTAATTGTCTCCCAAGATATACTCATCACTGACATTCCAGCAATTAATTTGCATCTTTAATTTAGGTTTGGTTCCAATACTCAAATGAACAGTATCTGCATTCATTAGAACTGCAGACTCTTCCCCAGGAGAAGGAAGCAGAAGACTGACAGGACTCCCTTCCATCCACTCAAACTTGACATTTATGTTTTGAAGTTCATCATATCAAAGCAGGTTCCAGTTTTATCAGCCCGGACTAGCTTATTTCTAATAATAATCTAAAATATTCTGCCATCACTTAAGGTCTGAAAGTTTTTTGTACTTTTGCAGACTGAAAGGTAAGACAAGACTAGCAGATATAATAATGGCCTGAGTTCAAACTTGAATGAAATTAACTGCATTTTCCTCACAACATGGTGATTTGCACACTCTCATTCACGTCTGATGTATCTTTTCAGGCTCTTTGGATCATCTTGTAACAAGCTGTATGCCTTCCCCTGGTACTTGTAGGCCAGTTCATGCCATGCCTCCACCCAGAAAAGTCCAGAGAAGCCAAACACATTAGAAGTGTTTCTGTGAGGGCCAAGTGAGGAGCCATTTTCAAGTCCTTCAGTTTTGGAGCTGCTTCTTTTTTAAATAATGTTTCTTCTTCTGTCTCTTTGATGAAAAGAACAGTAAGTAAGTAAGTGCTGTACATATGCAGAGACAGTAAAAGCTAAGGCTGACAGTTTATAACAGCAGGGAAGGACTTGAAGCCTTCTAAATTGCTCTTGGCTTTCTAGCTATAGTGTGCCAGCACTGAATACAACCTTTTTGAAATGCCAGCAAGAAGAGATGAGGTCTCAGGATGCTGGCTCACCCCACTTCACATATTTAATGAGCATTTGCTTCATTGCCCAAACCCTCACTGATCATCTAGAATTCCTTTACATTAAATGGAGAGAAGCTGAATAGTTCTCTTCAATGAACTTTCCTGGAAAGGCTCACAATTCTTCTCAAGTTTTGAATGGGGCAAATTACACATTAAAAGCAGCACTTACTATTCTCCAGAGTTCAGAGTGTGTGCAGGCAATGAGCGAGACAAATTTCAGACAAATTCAGACATATCGTCAGAAGACGTGAATTTCATCTTTTTTAGGAACATTAGATTACCAAGCAAGTATTTAATGGCTCCTTTCAACTCTAGATTCCAACCATATTTTTTTTTTAGGGAATGAATATACTTGCAGCTATTTTCCTGACTCTGTAAATCAAGTTGATTGAGGGTTGCTAGAAACCATCTCAGAAATGCAGAAGAAATTCTTCCTTGTTGAAGTTTTTGGAGGGTTCCTGTGTAACTTACCCAAATGCCTTCATGATTCAAATAAAGGCTTGATGTACCTTTTCTTGCTTTTAGTATATAGAAAGCCAAAGGCTTAAAATTATCTTCAGGAATTTATAAGCTGAACTTCCAAGAGAAGGACAACTAAATCAGTTTGCAGTGCACATTGCTGGGAGCTAACCTGCAACTTGAATTTGCAAAGGCTTATGTAAGATGATGAAAAGCACAGACTCACTTGGGATTACAGGAGGATCAAACACCTGCAGAAATGTGAGAGAAGTTACCTGGAATTTCAGAGGTTGGAAGAGGGATAAACTTTAAAGACTGACACAAATGTCAAGAGCACACAAATAAACCTTGTAAGTGCAAACTAGTGCACAACCAAACATCAAAAGAACCTGGGGACTCCCAAATCTGAATGGTATCATCATGGTAGTAATTAATGTGGGTATTATTAATATATGGTAATAGTTACATTTGATTTGAGCTGTGTACAAAAAGAGATTTAAAAATTGACTTGGCCTCACAGTTACATAAAACTGTTGAGGCATCAATTCCTCAATATAAAATCTGAAAACCAGAAGCTCTCCTTGAGATCATTTTGAAGTGTTAATTTCACTAATATTTCCTCAGAGAGATTTTTGGTATTTGGAAGCAATGTCTAACTTAATTGTGCATTTGTAAAACGTGACCAGAATTCGAGATGAGTATCTTGGCAGAAGTGAGTTATATTCAATTTTGTGAATAGTTATCAACTGAATGACATTTTCACACAGTTATCAGACAAATAAACTTTTTGCAACATCCAAGGATGTGTGTCCAGTGGAAGTTTTCTGCTTTTTTTAGTAATCTATTTATATGAATCCCTTGCACAGGAGCTTCTCAGTCATCTGATTTATTCTGCCATATTGAAAGTCACATTCATCTGAAAGAGCTGAAAAATGACACAATATATGGAATATATATGGAATAAGGACTGTTTTCTAAGCTCTAAAGTATCAATGAGCAAAAGTAATTCCTAATATTCTTATCAAGATTACAATGATAAATAATATTAATGCCTGTCAAAAAACAGATGACAAATAAATTATGCCAAAGAATACTGTCCTTTCACAACTGTACAAAGGCAGAACTACAAATATACTGTCCAATGGAGTTGTAACTATGAAATGACAATGAAAAGTGCTAGAGTTAGTTATCAGTCAGAGAAACAACAAATCTCTTTATGGAAACTGAATCAAGAGTTTCTGAACATCTGCTCTCCATAGCAAAAAAAAAAAAAAAAAAAAAATTCCAACAGCATAAACCCCTAAATGACTAAAGTATGACCTGCTTTGGCATTCAGAATTTTCCAGCAACCAAATACAAAATAGCTTCTGGCCACATGAGATGCCTCTGCATTTAGCAGAATCTGCAGGGAACTATTTTTCAGAGGAAAATATTTCTACAGCAGAATGGAAAAAAAAAAATAATTAAGAGGAAACCATAGACTTCAAAGGAACTAGAAGCATTATGCATGCAGCAGAACAAAGTTAAAGCTTTCTGTAGCAACTGCTGCACCCTTGAAAACAAGCTCCAGGATGTTGTATTTACCTGAGAACAAATGATCCCCACTCCCTTATCCTGCTGGCTCACTTACCGCCCACGTCTTGGTCAGCCTGAAGATGGGAGCACTCTGGAGACCTGACACCACTGCCATAAGAGCATGGAGGTTATTCAGCTCATACAGTTTCTGAGGACAAAAAAAGAGAAAAATAATAACAATAAAGAATATTCCAAGTGCTGTCAATAGTGAATACAGAATAAAAAACAATATAAAGATGCAGAAATCTTGCATGGTCTAAAATGAAGTGTTACAGTGAACTGCTCTGCACACAGCCACTTTTATGGCACCTCCTAATTTTTCATTACTGCATCTCTATGGTTTTGGATTAGACTAACTAGCTGTTTCATAGCCCATAGAGAACCCTTAAAAATATCTATATAGACACACATCTCGGGGAATATATTAGAAGTGCCAGAAATTTTCTGACATTCAAACCCAACAAATTCCTTTCATAGCATTCAATAGTATTTTAAAACAACATGCCAGAAAGGACAACCCAGTGATGCATGATGTAATCATGTCAGTACCCAAAGTTTATGCAACTTCCAAGACTACATCAAAGCCCCCAAAAAATATATTAGCAGGATGAAATCAAGGAGGTGAATTTCAAAAGCCACATACATGGAGTACTCCTCTCACTGAAAGGTCATTTCTGGGATATGACAACTAACTAGTGGAAAGCAACAACCCAATCAAAACTGAACAGCAAAAAACGTTAGAGCAAAATAATTCCCTTAAAAACTCTCTACAAAACACTGTGATTGAGTGCATTTTTTCACACATTTGGAGTTTCCCTCCCTTTTCTTTTTTCCTTTCCCTCTGTCTCCAAAACTGTCTGCTGCCTTGGCCAGGTAACCACTGGTACTATTGTCTTGAAAGCTTAAAAACAGTCTGGAGGAAAATGCTCCTCCTGAAGTTTTTCTGCAACATCAGTTGTTCTGATAGCTGTGAGCTCCCAGAGATCCAAATTCCATTCATGTTTGGTGCAGTGCACCCAAATTGAGGTTTTAGCCCTAACAGAGAGACTTTGCTTAGGAGAAATGATACTCAATCACATTATTGCAAATCTTGTTTAATATATTTGGAACATTTGCCAAAGTAGGTTAGGATTCCAGCATGAAAAAATAAGGAACCCTTCCTATTAAAAAAATGGTGGAAATCTTTTGTCTTACTTGAAACTCAGCTTACCTCTTGCTTAGGAAGCCTTTCATGAGCTTCCTAAGGCCAAAAGAACTAGACCAAAGGAATACTCACTAAATCCTGAAGATCAAAGCAGTGCCTCTATTTGTAAGGATGAAATCCAAAACCCATGGATGGTTTTCTGGCTAACAGTTTTGGATTAGGGCAAATGATTCTCTCTTCACTTAACACACTGCCAGGAAACTGACAGCCTTTTATGGAACAAAGCCCTCACAAGTATTAGTCAGAAATGCCATTTTTAATGGCACCCCAGTAGCATTTCCAGTCTGGGTGCTCAGACTCCCGTGATTCCAGCAGATCCTTCTGACAGTGGAAGTTGGCCCACACCTTCTGATGAAGTGCTTCTCTCTCCTCATCCTCTTTTGGGAGGATTCTCTAGTGACCAAGTGTAGAGGGTAATCAGTGTTTTTTGGGGCAAGGTGGAAGGGGTTGGATGTTTGTCCTACACCACAGTCCTGTTATCCTTCCAAGTAGTCCTGCTGAAGTTTGTCCCTCCACTTACACAATAACCCCTCACACACACACAACCCAAGGAAGGTAATAAAGTTCACTGTCCCAAAGGATGGTGTAGCTGATCTGAAATTAAAAGAAGGGCTTTCCCAGCTACTGCCAGCCGTGAAACAGAAGTCATCACCAGCCAGGACAGTCTGGGAACTTCAGGGGAATTAGGTATAATTATTTCATGCATTAAGCACTACAGATGAGATACCATTGCAGGACTGCCAGCTATACAACAGGTTGCCAGCACAAGGAATTCACTGTGGAGTAGATTTACAGCTTCTCTAAAGAAAAGGTAATTAGTGTGACCTCTGGCACCAAGCTGCTTTGATAATAGCTTTGGACAGCAGAAACTCCTTCCAACAGCCCCCACTGCAGTAACTTCATGTCAGCAGCCATATGGAAGCAAAGCCAAGGTAACAAGCACAAAAGTAAATGAACTGATATAAAAAACACCATATATACAGAGCTTCTTGCTTTTTGCAGCTGTGATTTTTACAGCTGACAGGTAAGCAAAGCTCAACTATCTGATTGTTAGAGCACATAGTTGCCTCCAAGCCAGCAGCACTCCAGCAGCCACTGCAGCCTGCAAGGCACTGGTGAGGTCAAGCATGTTCAGGGTGCTGCATCCAAAGCTGAGCCAGCACTGCCCAGTCCCACCCCAGTATGAACCAGACCTGAGCCCACCTGGCTTCCCACATCCCTTCTGCACTGTGGCCACACAGAGCTGAACCTCCCCCTCCTATGGAGGGACATGGATCATAAAGCCAATTTTTTAATGTTTTTATTTCAAACAAAACCAGAAGAATTGACTTTTAAAAGTACATGAGATCAAGATACATTGACTCACCAGATATCAAAGGATGTTTAAGAGAGATCATTAACACTATGACCACAGCATGATTATTGAGCAAAGCCTGTAGAATCCCACAAAATTAGTTCTTGCTTTGTCCAAAGTTGAGAGTCAAATCCCACAGGAGAAAAATACTGCTTCATTAAAAAGGGGCTTGTCAAGACAGGGAATGAACCTGAATACCAAATTAATTAATTAACAAATACTTTACATCTTTGTTTTTGCAGGTAACCCAGGGTGGTCACAGCAGTCAGCTATAGTAAAAGGCAGCCAACATCTGACAGCAAAAACTTGAAAAACATCCCTTTCTTTTCACTACTGTGAAGAAGTTTCACTCTGTTTGAAGGGCTATATATCACTCCAGATTTACTGACCCTTTTCTCATGAATGTCAGTCCAAAAGGCTTTAGGAAAGACTGAGAGCTCCAAAATGTCTTCTGAATCAAAGTCTATTTTTCAAACGACATTTTAAAAGTTGGTATTATTTGAGTAAGAGATAAAAGATCCTTTTCCTTCCAATGGTAAAAGCAAACAAACCATTTCTGTTCAGACTAATTAATCTTAAACCATCTCTACACTTTGTGAAACACAGAAGCCAGTTAGTTATTGATGTCAACAGAAACAACCACAGCTAAGTCAGGTATCAGACAAATATTTCCCCTTGAGTATTTCTGAACTGATCAAACTGAGTATAAAACCTTTGATTGTCACACCCCCTTCACAATACAAATTCTTACCTTTGCAGTTTTGATGTAGTGGCTCAAAACCTCAGCTCGTATTTTTAAAGTCTGTGCATGCAGAATCTCTCTAACAACCCAGAAGCTTACCTAAAATGTAGAAAAAGCGCCTTTTAAGAAATACAGTTTCAACACTATACTTTTAGAAGTTTTATTTATTTTTATCAAAGTTTGATCTACGGAAACAGACTTGAGTTCAGGGTAAGCCTGAGGTTGAGATCACATGCAAAGCAGAAGGCAAAACGAACTTAGAGCAGTGCTCTCCCAGGGGAAAAGATGATTTTGAAGAAATGTTACCTACATTATGAAGAACCTACAAAATGAAGGAATGTAAACACTAACATTGAATCATATCCATTGGTTTGCTTTCCCACAATATCAAAGCCATGTCACTCATCAACTCCTATATGAACTGAACAGCTTCAACTACAGTTCACTGCCATTCCCAACACCTCAAAATAAAACTAACCCTGAAGAAAATTAGAACCCAGTTTCTAGTTTATACTCTTATTTCTGGCTATGCCAATTATCTGCTGATGTCCAGCACAGCATCCTACTCTTAGCTAAGCTCTCCAGGACTGAATTCACTGTTATGTAAGATGCCTGCTAAATTCAGTATGAAGAGTGGTTGCTGCATTTCATACTTACATGAATGTCTCATAAAGGCTCTGCTTTGAAAATGTTTGGTAATATGCTTAAACTACACTGTTTGCTCTTCTCTGCTCCCTCCCACCCCTCTCCCCTCACAAAGAATGATAAAAATTAAATACCATAATAAAGCAGTAGCAAAGAATTAGCAAAAGGTAACAAATACTGCAGCTTTTATTCAGGTATTTGCTATGAGTTAGGAAAAAAATTAATGATCATCAAGATACAGCTTGGCTGGTATTTACAAAATTATGGCAAACAGTGTATAAAGAAATTAAAGTTTACTCTCATACATGAAAACCTTTCAACACATCACGTTGCTTTGATTTTTAAGTGATGCTAAACTACTTGTAAACTAACATTGTGTATGTATTAGGGTAACTGGCCAAAATCTAAATTGGAAAAATGAAATATCCTGTTCCACTTTGTACAGTACAATAGCTCCTAAGACAGAAGAGCACAAGATCAACACCTCCAAAATGATTACATTTGCAGTGAAGCTACAGAGATCTGATGAAAACTGGGATGTTAAATCACAACAGCTCTTTGGAACTGAGAAATGGAAGAATGACAAGAAAACCCACAAAAAGTCCCCACAAACATCTTGCATAAGAATGACTTTCCTATGGTCTGTTTGTCTAAGATTGTATTAGCCAGGAAAGAATTAACCATGGAGCTCAGGTTTCTGTTTACTTTCATTTTTCTTCATTTTCTTTCATTTTTTTTCTTTTTTGCAAAGCAAAATATCCGCTGACAAAACGTGTTATCCTCACAAACAAAGAGAGGGTCCACGTGATTAAAAAAAAAATCTCAGCATGTTGCCATGCTCAAAAATGGCAGATGTTTTTGAAACCACCATTTAAAAATTCTCATTTTTGATGGTACATCATCAAATTGTAGTCTGAAAATCATAGCAACTGTACCTGTATTTAAATGACAAATTGCCATTCCCTTTCTTTAGTCATAAAATAATTTTCCTTTAAGGACAGGGCTCCAAGTCTTACCTTGGCTGAGACAATCTCAGGAGTACTGAGAGAAAAAGAGAACTGAAACTCCTGCACCTTCTTCATTGTTTAGAAAATGAGAATATGTAGATTGTTGCCAGGTCTTCTCCAGTATTTTCTTTCTGTTAATATTAATATTAAATATTCTGAAGGGGTCCTTACTGAGTCCTGCCAGGAGCAGGGATTTTCACTCGATTATTCTGATGGGCCCCTTCCAACTTGAGATATTCTGTGATTCTATAAAATACAGAAGTACCAAATACATAAAATATTTGACAGTACTTCAAAATTTTGCCATAAAAAGCTTGACCTCAGTTTAGTGCTCTGTAGTTACACAGCTTGAGAAAAAGAACTTTTTTCCCCTGACTGATCAATGAGTTTTTAAGGAGACACTTTCTCACTGAAGACCAAGGGAATTTAAATTTTAACCACAGATTTCTGCATCATAAAGAATCAGGTAAGGAGAATACACACCTTAAGATCCCAAATCTCTTAACGTTCACAGACTGTTTATGTAACAGGAGAATGCCTGTGATGGGCCAGACTGTAACACACTTGCTTGGAACACAGAGTAACACTCCAGCATTTTCATCAGGACAAAAATCCCCTGATTTCCTCTGTCAGTCCTGACTTCTGTGGAAGTTCACTGGCTTCACACAAACACTGGGACACACAAATTCTTGTTTGCCTAAAGATGCCTGGGTTTTGTCCCAGTCCAAGCCAGACCTAAGCTTAACAACACTTCCAAGCTCTTGCAGGAAAAGAAAAAAAACCAAACAAACCAGAATAAATTTTCTTCAAAGCTTAGAGCCCTCCAGTCCTTTCAGTGATAGAGTAGGCAGGAGATACAGAATAAAACACACTTAATCACTCCTACTTCAACCACTTCCAGTCCTCTCTGATGTGTTTTTACTGTCAGAAAAACAGGTTTTTGGTCTTGTCTATTAACTGGTATCTTTAGACAGCACCATAACCTAATGTATTGCACATATTGAAAAATCAGTAATTTAAATAAATACTTTTGTTTCATTCTTTACATAAATAATACATATTTGTTCCATATATTCCTCTTCTGCTGCATTTAAATGTTATTATACCAACATCAATCAGCTACATGACTCCCTGCCTTTGGGTATGTTCAAGGCAGCATTTAAAGCCTTGAATATATAATTGTACATTTATATTCTTCCCTATTAAGGTCAACTGAGAATAAAAGGCTTAACTTTGAATATATCTGATCTTGAATCACACCTTAAGATTTTTAAATAATCCCATGTTTGCCTGATCTGAAATATCAATTCTGTTATACTGGTGCTTTTAAGTTCATAGTCATTGATTAAAAAATTATCTTTGCTTCCTGTGCTACAGAAAGATTGGGAAATATTCTTTTAATAGTTTCTGGATTTTTCTTTCAGGTAGCTTCCATGCATACTAGCCACTCCATTCCTTAATTTCCAATAATCCCAGTTAAATCCACTGAAATTCAGCAATACTACAATACTCAAGAAAAAGTTCTTCATACAGTGTTCACACTTGGGTTAAAAAAGGATGCAAAAAACCCAAAAAACACTCATAAAAGCACAGTGAGCAAAACATAAAATTTTCCTTTTGCAAGTGGGATCTCTTCCTTTAAAAATTCTCCAATGTACTGACTGTAGCTGACAAGTTTCTCTAACATTTTAAGCTCTGTGGCAGCTCGGTTCCATTCCCATTTAAATAAAAACCTCAAGAAAGAGGTTTTCAGCTGAGGGACTCTGATAACCAAGAGACCAACAGTGACCTTCACACAAACAGTTACCTTAAAAAAATTGTTTATTTGAAACATATGATAAAAGTTTATTTTCAAAAGGTAAGACAATGTTCTATGAAGTGAACTCGGCAACTGAGCACTCTGACAGGTTTACCAGTAAGTAAACAAATTACTTTCAGAAGAAAGCTAAAAAAATGAGAGTTCAGAGTTTAAAAAAAAAAAGTGAAGTTATGTAATTTTAAAAAGAAATAATATTAAACATGTAGATCTATATGAACTACCACTCAACAATGAATTCTCCAAGAACAGGAGAGACCTGGCATGGAAGGATTCAACTGATTTCTCTTCCCTGAACTCAATCTCTTTTTACAGGCACCACATCCAATTATCCCATAACTAATGCTGGAACTGCCCAACTTCATCCTCAGTGGAATCAACTGCACAGAATCATCACTGCTTCCAAAATACTACCTGCACATCATTTTGTTGTGAAGCAGCTGTTAGTAATTTAGTATTCTCTTTACTTAAAAAGCGAGAGCTGTTAATGGTTTTTCTTTGGCAAGCTGGGGGCAAAAAGGGAAGAGACAGGCTTAATTTAAACCCAGTGAAATTCCAAAAGTTAACAAAATTTTGATGACATGCATTCCTGCCTGAGAAGGTCACAAGTCCCTATGACTTTCCCAATTATTTATTTTAGGATTAAGCATTAGAACCCCTCAGGTAAGTGGAGCAGAAACAATATCTGTCCTTTTCCCTCTCTACTCCTATACTGATGGCTCCCTTGATGCCAGAATAAAGGCTGATATAAACTTCATGGAAGTCCTTATTCCCATGATAATGTTTCCCCTCCTTCCTTCTGGCTCCTGAGCATATTTTACCAATTCTTTAGTATGTCTGAAGTTGACTTCAGGCAGCTCCTGCAGTTCCTGAATACAGCACGTAACAACTGAGAAGTCCTTGATGAGTTACACTGCCTAACATGGTCTTTACTACAAAAACATTCCACAATATTCAGCAAAATGGAACATTTCTTTGAAGAGTCAAAGAAATCACTCAAAATACTCACTTCCATGAGTGAGGTAGCAAATGCTGCAATCAGTGGTGTATCAGTGAGATTAGTGTCAAAACCATGAGTGTTTTTACACTAGCCTATATATTCTAACAGAAGCAACTTAAAAAAAAAAAAAAGCAAGCTAGATCAGGAAAATTTCAACTAAATGCAGAACAGCAACAACAACCAAAAAACAAACACACACAAAAAAAATTCCCAAATTCTTGACCAAACCCCCAAGACCTCAATAAATGGTAAGTCAGAAAAAGTTTGCAGTGTAACATTTTTTCTTCAGTCCAGTGGAGAATCAGGCAAAACCCAAACCCAAACAAGCATTTCAATCAGTAGGTTAAGAAATATTCTAAGTGTTGTCAGTGAAAAGTAATAGGATTTGATCATATCCTCAGTGAGAATAATCATGAAAAGTGAGAAAGTACACAAGAATTGATAGGGGAAAAAACCCTGAAAAGTTGAGAGGTTTGGTCTGAGATTCAGATGATTAACAAAGATCTCTCTAAGTCTGAGACTGGGTATTGAGGTTACGTCTGCAAGGCAGCTTGTAAGTTTGAGACCTTATTAAACATTTACGAGAGGAGAGATGAGAGTAATAGAATTACTTCATCTGAAAGAGAAAATATGGCATTACTTAAAAAGAGCGTCACAGTTTTGAGAGATGACTGGGTAACTACACAGCTGGATTCCTCCAGCTTCACTTGTGGAGAAAGGGAGAATCCTGTTGTTCTTTTAATAGTTAATTTTATACAGAGAAATTGCTGAGTAAGAGAACCACAAATCTCAAATATACTACCTAAAAATGTTGTCAAATAGAGAGTTAAAGAAGAAATTTTTTTACAGAAAAATTGTTTTGAATTTTTAAGTTTGCCTAGAATCACTTAAAAAAGGTACCTACCCTGACAAGAGGCTTCTATTTCAAACAAAAACATCTATGTGAAGCATAAGACACTGAACTAACACAGAAGGAAATTACTAACTACTAATTACTAGTCCAGAAATCCTGTATGTCAAGTCTTTAACCTGTAATTATGATTCTGTCTTTTATATAAAAGACAGCCAGCAGTTCTGGAGAAAATATGCACTTTTCATTGATTGCTGCTATTTAAAACAGAGTTATTTCTTCAACACTGGTTTGGTCTTTCTGTATATCCTGTACATAAAGTATCTCCTAAAAGGAGCTCCTGAAGTTGTCAAGTAATCAGCTGTGATCCAAAATAAAAGTGATGTGCCAGAACACTTAATCCCACAGACTTTCTAAAATGTGTACATGTAATAATGCTGGAAAAAAAGAACTCACATGATTGAATCTTCTGGTGAAAGCAACAGCATTTGGTGCAAAACGGTATTTCTCTTTTTTATTCCAGCCACAGCTTGCCAGCTCCTGGGAGAACAAGGATGAAAATTCACTTCTTTAATTCAGTGCATAACACATGTTCAGAGCCAAAGGCATATGAGACACAAATCTTTTAAGTTCTAAAATAACAGAGCAACAACACATTGAAGTAATACAGTTACACTTGTTCTGATTCCTTCTGCAAATTGAGACTACACAAGTGTCATTTCTGAATTATGCAGAGTTATTGGATCATTACAATTCATCTTTTGCTGAATTAGAGCTTTCCCAATTCTGTTACCACAGAAAATCCAGCTTCAAAAGTGAATCTGAGCTAGAGAGCCGAATGTCCTTTTGTTTTTAATCACTTTCTGAAGATATTTAAAGAGATGATACACCTAATTAACTCAATCTAAGACATGTCCCATATTTTTAACTTGGCATGTTGCATTAAAGAAATACCAAAAAATACTGTTATTTGCAGTAACAATAAAAGAAACATTATTTTCCATTTTCCCTTCCAAAGGAGTCTGTTTTGAGAAACTGCATCACCTTGTTATTTACTATCACTTAATTTCAACATAGTTTTCATTAAAATCATAAATAACTAAATGTAGCAAAATGAGCTCTTCCATTTGTATAAAACAGCACGTGAACAGATGCAAAGACAACATTCAACACACAACCTGTTCCACAGTGCTACCAAGAAAAATAATCAATATAGACACAGCTTACTTATTCAAGTGGTATAATAGCAAACTACAGCCCTTCCTTTCTACTTATTCATGTGTTCCTTCCAGAACATCCATTCTGAAGTGCTCTCAGTTTTATCACCATGCAGAAAACTCCTCACTGAAGCCAGATTCATGCTACACATCCAGCTACCACATAACTTAGGTCATATGACTCAACATGTAACCAATAATTGTGACATTTAAGGCACAGTTTAGAAGAATTTGGTATCTGGAGAGTCTTTTTTTTTTTAAACTTTTTTAATTCAGAAACTTCTTAGCATCTTTCCAACCAATGTTGCAAAACTACTAAAGAATCTTATGCCAGTTAAGAACGACCCTGAATTCTTCTCCTTGAAGTTTGTGGTGTGCAGGTATTTGTTAGAGAAGACCCAGGAGATTCCTGGCCAGGCACTGGAAAGAATGCAGAATTCTTGGCTTTGTATTTAGGGCCATTCCTTCAAATTTCACTAGAAAGTTGTGCCACCTAAATCTACCCTGGCAAATCTGGCGTGTTCAGCACAGGAAAGCACATACCCCTGTCCTTACACCTCTGCTTCAGTGAGTATACATGAGACAACCATACAGCCCTGAACTACTCCTGCTCCAAAGGAGAGCAGGCTACTGGAGAAAGGAGCCATTCAAGAGACTCTTGATTGCCCTCTCTATCCCTCAGCATCTCTAGTTTCCACTGGAATCACAGCTCTGCACTGGGAGGAACACAAGGGAATTCATCCAATGGCATCTGATAACGCTTAACAATGGGAGAAAATGAATTGTCACCTCAGGTGACTGTGCCTCAACACTCCTGGCAAAAGATCTGGATGTGTGTCTTCCCAGGCAGGAGCAGGATCTTTTGTTCTGCAGTATTCTCAAATCTGCTGCCAATGATGGCTGTACCCTGTGGGCCCTTAGATTTACAGGGTCAGGGCAATGGGGAGCTTCTGCCCAGAATCATTATGAGTTTTTCACTCAGTGATGAGAATTTCAATTGAAGGATGTGGCCTAAATTTTTCCATGTTTTCCCTAAATCTGTGCCATCAGTTCTGATTCTTCAACAGCTTAGGGTGACATCCACACCACTGTTCAGGGACAGACACAGGAGAGGCACAGAGCTTTCAGAGCTCCAAAAGCATTTTTCCCTCCCTTTAGCAAGTGTAGGAAACACTTCCTCATCTCACTTAAAAGACCCCTCTCCCTTGTGCAGCCAACTTTCTTTTCTCTCATCTTTAAACTAAGAGTGGTTTCCCTTTGCCTGTCAGGCTCCCCAGCATGACCACCTGAGCTTTCTGCCTCATGGGACCCTTGCTCAGAACCCTTTTGCTCCTCTCTAGAAGCTGCCAGTGTGAACCCACTGCCCTTGGCACTGCCCAGCTCGCTGCCAGAAGATGCCATCAGCAGAAGAGCAGCCACCAAGGTGTTTGCCCTCCCTGGATTTGGCCTGGAGCAGTCCCATACAATCCCAACAAGGACACATCTGACTGCACTCATGATGGCAATAAAACACACACACCACACTGGAACTGAGAAACCATTCTTATCCTTCTATAAAAATACTCACTTCTCTGTTAAACAGGCTGTTTCTTATTGTATTTCTTGATCTTCCTCTAGGATTCCTTTTTCCACCAGAAGTTTCAAAACTAAAGTATTAACAGGATTATTTCCTTATCTGCCAGTCAGCTCAGGAACAGTCAGCTACATCATTACAACCATCAATTTCTTACTTAATGTGGTACATTTAAACTGATGTGAAAAACTGAAAGACATAGGATCAAGAATACAGAAGTGGAACTTCCTCTAACTCATTTTGGTTTTCACTCCCTTTTGAATACACAGCATTTTATTTTCCTTAAGAAAATACTGTGGGAACATTTAAATTATAACCTGTACCACACAGCAAAGAGTGAGATTGTGTTTCTCACAAAAACCTTTATCTAAGTCAAAGGGAAAGTTTCAAAAAGAGGAGAGAAGCAGCAAGGATTAATAGTGGAACTGTTCTACAACTTCAGAGTGAGCAGAGATTAAGAATACTCAGTGAGTTGTTTTTTTCACTGCCCAGCCTGGCAAAGCAGAGGGGATGAAGAGGTTAAAGACAATAAGCCAGTGGAGATTTTCAATATGAACACATATGGGCAAAAGATTTTGGATGATGTACTAAAACATATAAAGCAAGTAATCAGATTTTCCAAAAAAAGCAAATTGATGTGTTCTACAAAGGGTCATGTGGCTGTTATTTAATGTTAACACAACTACCAGCAGCACAACCAAGCAAGTCTAAGACTCTCTTCTTTTACAGTAAAGCTTTACAGTCACGGCTCTCAAACCACTGAAAGCCACAACTACTACAAGAGAGGGAAGAAAAACCAACATAACATTTGCCTTTCCCAGGGAATTGAAGGAAATCTTATGACTGACTGGAGAAACTCCATAATATTTTTTCCCCCCCTAAAAATTAAAATGCAAATTGGCTGCTTTTGTACAGATAGATGTTTATGTCAGAGAGGTGGGTTCTTTGTAATCTTTATTTCTTATGCTGCAGCCCACTAACTATTAATTAACAAAAAACCCAGCAATTCTTTCTACTTTCTCAGAAGTAACTTGCAGGTATTTTTGATGAAGAAGGAAGGTGGTTTCCAGAATTCAGGAATGCTAGAGCCTGCATACAGCTCAGGCAGAGGATTGTGTCACTAAAGAGTATCTAACCATGGTAATGGTTCAAGTCCCTGCCTCTGGCTCACCCCAAATGTTAAGGGATCCACCACTTTCCTTAATCCCAGCTTCTGTGGGCAACACTAAGCTTTCACTCTGTTTTTTCACCAAGCATAAAATGGTGAGTCGTAGTGGGTAGTGTGCAGGAGCTTGAGAACACATCTGAACCGACAACATTGCTCAGAAATTTGAATATAAACAGAAATAATTCTATTTACTTGCTACAGATAGAGGCAAAAGGCTGCCAAAGTATGTCAAAGTGTGCTGCAAGCATGTTCACCGACTTTGATGCAAAATGAAAAACAACTACATATTGCTTTGAAAAGTGTTATTCAGCTCTGTTTTCTTTTAAGATAACCAAGCTGAAATCCTGGTATTGCTTTTTATTAAAAAAAAAGCCACCTGTAATAATTTAAGAAGTATTTTAACACAATGAGGAAGGTGCAACACAGTAATTTGTAAGATATTTAAAGAACACTGCCCACACAGCCTGAAGATAAAAATTCATCTCCAGCAACTAAAAAAAGTTAAGCATCTCTGAGTACATCTTTCAGAAACTTTATTTTGAGAAAATAAATGAACACACATTAAAGGCTAAACATTTTCATTCAGGTGCCATTCTGCAGTTTGGAGAGCAAAGGGGGATTCACAACCCGTGTAAGGAAGATTTGCTGGTGAGTTACAAATTGCAATGAACACCCTGTTTTTAAATCACAGCACACTGGGGAAAAATATTGCTCACCGTCTCCCACCATGCATACAGATGAGAGCTGTGAAATTCAGTATCAGTATTTAGAAGTCTATCAATGCCTTTCAGTCACCCATTGAAGACTCAGTTTAGGAGCTCTTTTATACAGGTGAAATCAGCTCAATGGTGTTTTGTTTTTGAATTACAGAGTCCACAATGCTTGAGTGTACACGCCAAGGGATGGATAAGGATTTACAAATTGAATCGAGACATGGATATGGCACAAGCTGTTAGAAACTTTAAGGAAGCTCAAAAATCTACACCACCTCATTAACCTGCTGTAAAGACGCCTTGAGGTAAACTAAGCCTTCCACCTCTGATATTCCCTTCTGCAAGCCAGAAGAAAATCAATTTAACTGTGTTGAACCTTTTTTGAGCTGAGAGTTGATCTTTACAGCCCATTTCCCAGGGGATTAACACAGTTTAGAGACACATCAGCCTGCAACCTCTGTTTACTGGAAAGGAGAACTGATGGACAAGTTTATCATATATATCAAAATAAATGCATACATTTTAAACAGGGATATTAAAAAGGACATTGTAACACCAAAAAAAAACCATACAAGTGTCAAGTTTCAGGATGAATGTTCATTACTAAAAATATTTTAAACTGCTATTAAATATATCACAATATTTTTAAAAGTTTGACAATTAGAAAACCTCTGGAACTTTAAAAATTTTTAAATACCGACATGCTGTCCACAGCTTTCAGCAGCTTGTGTGTAAACACTTGAAAGAGTCAGCCAACCCTTCCTCATGGACATTTTCCAGTGAAGGCATCACACCAATTTTTCCTATTAATTTTTTCTTATTCTTATAGAGATTTCTTATAAATAAGTACTTTCCAGATATATTTGCCTACACTCTTATGTTTTTCTGAATAGCCTTGAAGTGCCTTTAACTGGCAGAATATGTTTATCCTGATCTTCTAATAGGATCTCTTTTTCTTAAGGTTCTTCTCCAAAGCTTTAAAGCATTTTGCTCTTTTATCTGACTCTTTTAAATGTTTTTCTTGTATGTATGTCTGTGTACTACTTTTGCTAATGTTAATTACTGCTGTGATGTAGGTTCAAATCAAATCAAATGGAAAGCTCTCTGAACAATTAAACCAACAAAAAACTCTGAAAACCCAAACCAACAAACTAAGAAGTGAATCAGAATTCACACACAGATCCAAGTGCTGGGAAATATTTTGCTGAAATACTATGGAAGCTGAAACATGCCATCTTCAAGTACAGATCAAATAGTAGCCTTCAAAAAAGTTCCCAGGTAACACAAATGATGAAATCAATAATCACAGCCAGGTGATTGAGCAGGTTTCTCTACTTGAGGCAAAATATTCTTTGGTGTGTCACAAGAGTGACATAAACCTGCTGCCAGTGAAAGTTTGTGATGAACTGAAGTAACTGATGAGCTGAGAAAGACTTCCACAGAACTGATAAAAATGGACAATAAACTGAAAAATAAACCCTCAAACGTGCAAAACAATGCCCACAGGAAAATGCTAATGGTACAGAAATGAGGAGAAACAAATTCATCATTTATTATAGTCCCTGTGAAGATGCTGAAATGAGCTCAAGTCAGCTAAAATCTGAAAGGAATATGGCATTACATAAAAACAAATGAGAGAACACAAATCATCAATGTATTATCTTGATGTAGCCACAGATCACACACATCTTGAATTCCACTACAATCATTTTCATTTTGCCAAATGAGAAGTGAAGCAGTTATGGAAGCACAGGACAGGATGAAGTATTAAAACAGGTATCAGTAGCTGAAACCTAGAACATTATGATCAGAATGATTAAATCAGGATGTCTGTCATTCAGAAACATTAAATCCCACATGCTTCACCTCCAGCACAAGGAAATACCCAGATTAGTCCCAAAACAGACTATTAGTTCCAAATATTTTTGTTAAAAAACCATCTGCTTCAGAGCTGTATGAATTGGGACAAAAATTACAATTTATAGACATATACTTTGAAATTCCAGAATTCATACACTGGCATCACATTTCTTATTTAAACTGAAAAACAAAGCTAACTAAATACTTACCTCTGGCTGAATTGCTTTAAATACAGGCACATCCATTAGTGTAATTTGACCCTGGAATAAAAATTTAAAAAAAAACATAAGTTAAGATCAAAATTAACCTTGCATTCCATTCAGGTGCTGTGCTGCTTAAGAACTGCATTTGCTCTGTTTCCATTTCTTATTTGGCTTTCATTTTGTACCTCATTTCAGAGGTTTCAGCTTCTACCGCAGGGTCATCCTGCAAAACCAAAGAAAAACGTGCTCCTAGCTCCACATACACAAATAATAAACAAATTATGAAAAATTATTCTCAGGAGCATAATCCTGCAGTTACATGGGCAAGTAAGACCCTGAACTCAGAAACACGATATAAGAGCCTTCCCAAGAAGACAAGGAACTGACTGCAGTTGCTCAAAGGTAGCTTCTCTCCAACTTCTGAATGTTAGTCCAGTTACACAACTCTACTGAAACATCCCTACAACATTTCAATCAATACTTGAAACATATTTGAGTAACGAGGCAAAGCAATTGCTCAGTTGCTCAGCAACAGTTAAAATCAAACACAGGCATCTCTTTTCCAGCAAGGCAGAGTCAATAAGTGCATTTTCATTCTGGGATGTTTGCTTAACTTTGAAAAGAGTAAAGTAAAAGACCAGGTTTTGCATCTTGAAATATATTCACAGAGCCTTATTTTAAGTTTATTAATCCTGCACATTTTAGGATTGCTGACAGCCTATGTATTCAGAAAAAAAGACCATTTCTTTCAAAGGCAGCCCAGAAATACCAGTGCCATCTGAGTTAGGTATCACAAATTTTCTTTTAATAATGAATCCAGGAACCTTGTTCTGTTCCCTCAGCTGTCAGCTGCATGGCTTTATTCCCATTTCTTTGAAAACAGCAGTGCCATATATACACTCCAAGGTACACACTGACAGCTTTGTGACTCTCACAAATTACAGCTGCCACTGGATGCCACCATGGATGGCAGAACAGCTCCTCAGAGAAAAAGCCAACCTGGCAGGAGAATTTTAACTGGGATGCTCTAAGTGAAAGTCAGCTAGTACAGAGATGTAACTGCTCTCATGAGGTACATCTTGACCTCTAAATGCATTTTTAGATAGGAATTCTGACAGTCAATAATAAACATTAAAAAAAGATATGTATCATTTCTCTGTAACCAACACCCCGACACAATCATCTGGTATTTTGCAGTACAGCACCAGAGAAGTAAGAAGCCCTTTATATGTTTCACTTTTACTCTCTTTCCCCCAAACATCACTGAGTGGGGCTGGAATATCAACGTGCTGGAGGGCAGGAAATCTCTGCAGAGGGATCTGGATGGGCTGGATCGACAGCCAGTGGCACAAGAGTCAAAAAGGCCAAGGGTTGGGTCCTGCCCATGGATCACAATCCCACGCAGAGCTGCAGCCTGTGAGGAGAGTGGCTGGAAAATGAGGAAGCCAGTCCTGGAGCAGCAGCCACAGAACTCCATCTCCAGTCTCCTGTTTGTGTCTATCAAGATTTCTCAGAAATCTTACAGTGCATCGTTATGCTTCTCAGTAAAGCAAATTAATAGGAAAAATGGGTTGGGAATCTAAAATGAAAATGGGCACTTCAATAAAATTCAAATTAAAGGCACATTAAAAGATCCTTACAAAAGACATGAGCATTTCAATAGTTATTAATGTTTCACTGCAACTCCTCCTCACTAAAACAAGATTGCAGTAACAGCACAATAAAAATAAGCCAGGAAACTGATTCTTTGTTAACACTGAGGAGAGTAGACTTAAAAATAAATGTTGCCTTTCTTGCTAGCCCTCCAGAATCCATCCTCTTCATCAGTCTGAACTGCCTTAGCTAAATTTAACTTGCTTCAGTAGTGACTCCTAAACAAATTACTACTTTAAGAAGGCATCAATATAAAATATTTAAGAAATAAAAAGTATTATTAGAACTTCACACCAGAATTCATTTATCAAAATAAATGCATACATTTTAAACAGGGATATTAAAAAGGACATTTTAACACCAAAAAAACCACACAAGTGTGAAGGCTCAGGTTTAATGTTCATTACTAAAAATATTTGAAATTGCTATTGAGTAAATTACAATACTTTAAAAAGTCTGACAATTAGAAAATCTCTGTAACTTTTAACAGAGAAACCTGTTTCTTCTACTAGCACATTGATATTAGGCTGAGGGGTTTTTTCCTAGCTTGGTTGACACATTTTTGCTTCTATTAAAAGCTTAAGTAACACTGTATTACAGAAGCACTTGTTCAAAAAGCATCCCTTATTGCAGTTCCTTTCTTAGAGAGCTTGAAATTTCCATTACAAGTTCTCAGGGCTTAGCAAATTGCTGATAATTCAAAGGAATCAAGCCACTGAGAGCTGAATATCTAAGGTGATTGTTAAAAAGCCATTTGAGTTTGTAAGCATAACAGTGTAACTCACATTACAGTTACATTAACAACATTTTGTTAAAACTATGTTTAACAAAACAGATTTTTTGAAACATTAACTTGCTCATATTTATAAGGCTATATTTGTAAGTCTAATGACTGAATTTTTATTCTTTTAAAACATGCTCGCTCACTGCTAACTAAGTAAAGCAGACAAAGGCTGGCAGTCTAATTAACAGCACTTGAAATAACAAAGCTTCAAAAATAATTCTCGAGTTTTATGTTATGTGCCACTGCTCAATTCTAACAGCAAATAAAATCTTCTGCCTTGACCATCTCACAGGGAATTTAAACCCAAATAAACAAAACCCCTAGTTTGGTTTCTGCAAATGAGAGAGATACAATGCACTAACTTTTCTCACTCCAGCTCCTTAACCCAGCCAATACAAATTCTTGGAGAGCTTCCCTCTCCCAAATGTGGTTTAATGCTTTAATATTCAAACCAAAAATTATAAGTGTTCAAATCAACTTGCTACATGAAGCACGCCAACCATAACTTCTCTGGTTTTGGAGCTGCCAGCTGCACAGACTTAGAAAAAATAAAAATAATTACATGTGCAATACAAAACTGTGAAGTTGTCCTTACTTATCATTTAAATAAGCATTCTGATTATGCAAAGATAGGGAAACTTGGGTATTTTCTCTCCTTCCAGAAGTGATATCTCTACCAAGTTAATTTGGATAATGAGGTATTTCATCATGGCACAGGGTGAGCTGAATGGAGGTTTTGTTTCTGTTTGCCCTAGATCCTAGATAACAGTTCAAGAATATGAGTAGAAAAGGTATGTTTTTAATATATCACCATTTTATTTCCCAATTCTCAACCACTTGAAGAGCTGTACAAGACAAAACTATATTTTAAAAGCGGTGCATTGGAACATTTTCCAATTTGCACACTTCCCCACCCCTTCACAGCCACAGGAGCTTTGCATGTATAGAAGACCTTGCCTGGGGAGTCTCCAACAGCCACGTGTAAAAATATTTTAGCTCTCGTGGGTGTTGAGAAGTTGGACTTGTTAACAATCAAGTACTTCAAAACACTAAAATTATTACCACACAGTTTCATATAAAGAGGTTTTACCCCTCTCTCGGGGAGGTCTGCCAGGTCAGAAGTTTTACATTCAAACAACTCAGAACTACGTTTCTATGTGCTGCTTCTTTGAGGAATATGAAGAAGCTTAATGAAATAAAATTTAAAAATACTTCCTGATTCTTTCTCTTTGCTATGAGGACACATAGATTACCCTTCTTCCATAAAAACCCATAACTTAACAACTTCTAGTTCCAGTTCAGACCACTGCATTAAGCTTCTCTCCACATTTCTGTATGAAAGTTCTCATTGGACCTGGGCTATATTCTCACTTTTCTAGTCCCCAGTCCTTCTCAAGCACGAACTCTTTCTATCAGGCCATTTGCTGTATGTAGTACGAGTTTTCCTGCCATGTACCTACTCTAAGGACAGGGCACTTCCCCCACTGCTCCCTCCCAGACAGAAAACCCTCAGTGTAAAAAGAAACTCAGTTTCTGTTTGAGGTGAAAAAAGTCAAATGTCTGCATTCTGGTCACTGAAGAATACTGCCATCACCTGATTTTCCTTGAAGCCATGTTGGTTCAAGCAGCACTTCATAAATTGTTCCTTAATCTGAATTTCTAGAAGGAATGATATTTAAGCCTTCCAACTTGGCTTAGCACTGTCTCTCTGGGCTGCCAGGATATTTTCCTCACTGAAAAAAATAGCTAAGCCTCTGTTAAGCACAGCATCAGGAAGAGAATAATTCTGCTGTCCAGAATGAACACCAGGGGATTCAAGATCCTGTGTTGAAGCTCTACTTGTTTTCTCACAAAGTCCACTCCAAAACTTTTATCATTAATAGTTCCTCCACACGCTATAATTAAGTTGCTTCTTGCTCTCATTTGGAACATACTTACTCTAATATTCTTCTGAGAAGTAAAGCTGACAGGATGTACATAATCTGATATTTCACTGTCATGAGAACATCTCTGAGAACTCCTCCTTGTTTAATCGAAAACAGTTTTTAACTAAGCTCTATTTGCACATTGTTTCCAAAACAAGCAGTATTATCTTCCAACAATCATTTGACAAAGTTTCACAGGAATGAAAAAGAAAGAAATACACATACTACATCTTAGCATGAGCTTACTCCATAACACTTCCAGGGACTAGGGCAAAGAATAAAGAATCCTTCTTAGATAACTAGGCGGAAAAAAAAGCAATGGATTTATACAGCTGCGCTTCCCTTAATTCTACCTCAAATATTTACACCACCGTGGCTAAGTTCAAGTATAAAATGGAAAAGTGAGTCAAAAAGTAATAAACAGTCTAATAATTAAACAGTAGATGTCTAAGAAATAAGAATTTACTGTAAAGCATAAAATAAATATTTCCTCAACCTGAGGTTGGCCAGCACCTTAATTTGGAGCTCATGACCCCAAGCTTTCTCCTTCTTTCCTTCAGCCTCACCAGTCTCCCCTTTCCACTGCCACTGCACCACTAACAGATCCCTCCCCCACAAATTGTGCCCTGTGTGCTGAAAACCACATTTCTCCCTTGGATGAAAATGGGGAGCATTCAGTGTGACCACGCCGACCCTGGGCACACAACACCCCCCCCAGCAGGGCCAGGCACCATGGGGCAACCCTGGCACCAGCCTGGCTGTGGCTTCCAGCCCAGGAATAAAGAACTGAGCAGTGACCAGCCTAAAAGCAGGTCTTTAAACCAGAGATGGTCTCCTCACTAGTTACATCTTACAAAGCTGGCCATTGAATCCTTAAATGTGTCCTACTTCATACTCATTGAATGGGATTCTTCTTCCCAAAATCTATGCATTACATATATATTATAATGTATATATTTACATATATATTATATATATATAATATACACACACACAGATATATATTATGAACACTCAGGTATTCAGTACATTCCCTGTAAGCTTTCTGTAAGCTGTAAGGTGATAAAGCAAACTATAAATTTGCAACAGCACCAGCAGGGCCTGAAGGTCTCACACATTTCTAAAGCAGCCTTCAACCTTAAGAAGAATTAAAACCACCCAGTTGCTAACGAAGTTATAACTGACTATTACATTTATATTACAAGAATTTCCATTACTGCTCAGACTGGCCCCCTTGAAGGGCTGGAAGACTTTTGCTTGTGAGACAAAGGACCATTACATGAAACAGCACTCCTCCTGGGCACTCAGGACAGTGTTAGATGATTGCCAAAGGGGAGAATATGGAAATAAAATCATCAAAAATATCTGCACTCAGGTTTCTCTTTGGCTTGGTAGCACCTTCTTGAAAATACAGGATTACAAGCAATACCTTTTGTTGTCCAACTTGTCTCTTACCCACTAAATGACTAAACAGATGGAGTTTTGAAATAATAACGATGTCTCTGAGACAGTGGGAACTGAAAATACATCTGTGTCTCTCATTGGTACTGAAATCACCATTGTGGATCTTATTTCCAGCATATCTCAAACTCAATTAGCTTTCACATTTTTGTTTTTACTCCTTTGGTATAATTGTACTTCTCCCATCTGTGCACAGTGACCTGATCAAAATGCAACACATCACATAAGGTTCAGGATGGGACCTCACAATGGTTATGCTGACTTGATCAGTGAACTCTCACTCTTACAATACCTCTGTACAAGAACTCTTTTCCACTGGAGCCAAGGTTTCCTAACAATTATTTAGACAGCTGTCTAACTACTTGTCGTGCAGCAAGTTACTTCTATTGCTGTTTTACTGGCTTTTTCACATTATCTTTCCTCTCAATCAATAAGCTACTTAGGTAGTCTGCAAATTATTTCATCAGTTTATTTCATTTATATTATTTCATCAATTTACTTCAAAATAAATTATATTATTTTAAACAGCATTCACTCAGCTGTCACAGAGACATGTCTGTAGCCTGCACTGCATCCATTCTGTAAGGACTATCACTACTCAAGAAGCTTTCTCATACTTTGGAAAAGCAACTGGCAGCATATCCATGTCCAGTCCAAGAGGTACAACCCACCACCAGGAAACCTCACACACTTTTGCATCCTCAAGAGTTTGGCCCTACTGCATCACTCTGGTGGCCTTCACATCCACACTGAAACCCAGGACGAGTAAGAAAGTGACCAAGAAAATAGAAACAAGTTTAAGGGTCAAAGATACTTTTCCTCTAGGGTACCTAAGTTTTTGGCATATTTACTTATTTCTACAACCTTCAGCAAGAATGATCAGAAAAAGACAGCACTCAAAGCAAAAAGGTGCTACTGGAAAAGCAGATATGTGTGCCTGGGGAAACAAACATTAACAAAGTGCAGCTGTGTAAAGAAACATTGAAAAAGAAATGAAATTAATTTTTTCCTTGCCAAAGGACTGAATACTGATGATTTTGTTCAATTGTTCAGAATTCTACATGCAAGGCGTTTCGTATCGATTTACAGTAAATCAAACTTGGTATGAAGAACTAGATCCTTAAAAGGAAAAAGGTGAAAAGCAAAGATGTTTCTTTTGAGGGACTGAGAAAAAAGCAATATTATACTTAGTAAGAGAAAAATACATGCACAGCTGTAACATGAAATGCTTAATTAAAAGATTCCTGTCAGCGAGTAGAACTCTACCCACTTTGAGGCATAACATGAAAACAGGAAAAACACTGGATTTGAATACAGATTTTTATCTAACCAAGATTTCTTAAGTGGGTAGCATTTAGAACATATGGAGTCAAAGGTTGCTGCATTTGAGAGAAGAAGGACTAGATGGTGGAGCAAAAGGATTATGAAATGTGATTCTGTGACAAGGCACCTCTGTATATTCTGCTGTCCAAGTGACAGTAGCTCCACAGAGACTGACTGATCTATTCTGCTGCCCAACAGCATCATCCACCACTGGTAAATAGTAGAGCCTTTCAACAAACTCATTCTGGCCTGAATATATAATTCCACTTGAATTCATGTCCATAGCCCCAAATTCCCTAAGTACTTAGATTTACTTTATGTCCAGGAATCATAAGATAGAACTGGAAGGACAGTCAGCCCCAAAAAACATCTTCCCATGGAAAGTAGGTGATTCATTGCCCAGCTGTTCCTGACAACAGTGCAAGGAAGAGGCCCAAACCACATGACCTGAGCCTCAGTCAGGAATAAATCCCATAATTAATTATGATCCCTAGCCAAGAAGAATTTAATGTGTAAGTACCACTTCATAATCCAGCTGCTTTAAATTTTCAGTGTTCTCATTAAAATCAATTGAGCCACTAATAATTAACTGAAATAATTATTAACAATTACAAACCAGAACGAACTAAATGGGAATATTTTGTGACACATATTACTCCATATCAATAATCTCCCCAGGACAACTCCTCGTGAATCTCATCGCTTGAATTAGAAATACATTAAGAGCTTAGCAATCTTTCTAGTAACATACTCAAATCACTTAGAGGGCCCATCTGTTGTCCTCACCTCTACAAGGAGTAAAAACAGAACAAAATCACCCAATGTTTCGGTTAAACATCTGTGTTTATTTATTCTTTTGATTTATTTTATTTAAATTATTCTGTGCACCCAAAAGAAGAAAACTAGAAAAGCTTCCTAGAGCAAGAATTAGTGGAGTTAAGAATTAAAATACCTCCAGAAAAAAAACAAGTACAGATCAAGCATAGCCTTGCAACTAAAATATGCATGTCAGAATTAAGCTGTGTCACAAAGAATCTTTAGTCTATGCTACCTATAAGAGTATGAAAAATACCTGGACAGCAGAACCCAAAAATATCACTTAATTTCAAACAGAATAGAGACAATGAAGAACTAAAGAACAAAATCTGTTCTTAAAACCCATGGACGACAGAAGTTAGGCAAAAAATGTACAGAAATAGAGAAGCAGAGGAAAAGCTGCAAAGGAGATTCACACACAAAGTAATTAGAATTCCTGGACTTGCTTACCGCATATTCCTCTGGTGTAACCTTTAGAACATCAAATACCACTGCATCAAAGCTCTTCTTCAGTTCAGCTGAACCCTTGTCACTCAAGGACTCAGAGCTGCTACTCTTCTGCAGAAACAAACAAAAAAAACCCCACTAAGGATATTTTGGAATTGTCTTCTTTTTGTCTTCTCTTTTTTACACTCCCAAAAGTAAAATTTCTGTTCAAGCGTCACTGTTCACATTAATTTTTCTACTGGGTAAATTATCAAGTCAAATTCAGTCACAGAACATACTTTTCTCCTGACATGGACTGCAAAAAATCAGACCCTCAAAGTGACGTCTGGATTTCCATGGATTTCCTTCTAGCTGAAGGAAGGCAGGGTTAGGTTGAATATTAGGAAGAGGTTCTTTGCTGTGAGGGTGAGGAGGTCCTGGCACAGGGTGCCCAGAGGAGCTGTGGCTGCCCCTGGATCCCTGGAAGTGCCCAAGGACAGGGCTTGGAGCATTCTGGGATAGTGGAAGTTGTCCCTGTCCTTGGCAGGGGGTGGCACTGGATGAGCTGTACCATCCCTTCCAATCTCAGTAATTCCATGATTTCAAAGGAATTCCTCAAAACACAACAGTTATAGTTTAATGCATAATTAAATTCCAATTTTATTGTCATAACAGCAACAATATTAACAAAAGCAAGACAGTCATACTGAATTTCAAGCACAAAAACTATCACGATGGTAAGGAAAAAGACACCATCTACCCCAAGGGAATAGTTATCAATCCTCTTCCTTTTTCTCTTAAAAACATGGATCCTTATAAAAATAACACTGAGCTACACATGTTTCTGTTGAAGACATTTAGCAGAAGGAACTTTAGTGCTGTTTTTAAATTACAGTAATTCATATTTTCAAAAAATGCCACATCCTAAGATATCATTCTATAAACATTTATCTACAGAACAGAGATTTTGCTTCTCTGCAAAATACAAATGCAGCTCAAAAAATTAACATTTCATATTGTTTTCATATACACTTTTCACATTAAAGCAATACATCTGTGTTATGAGCAATCACTTCTTCTAGCACATAGATGCAGACCTAGATTCTGTTTATTAATTCCTGAAGTTCTGTCAGGGGAGGTTAGGTTTGAATATTAGGAAAAGGTTCTTCCCCCAGAGGGTGGTGGGCACTGCCCAAGCTCCTCAGGGAATGGGCACGGCCCCAAGGCTGCCAGAGCTCCAGGAGGGTTGGGACAACACTCCCAGGGATGCACAGGGTGGGATTGTTGGGGTGACCAACACAATCAAGGCCTTTTCTGACAGTCTGTGCCATTTTACTGCTAATGCTGCAAGCTTTCAAGACAGTGGACATAGGACCTAGAGAATTCAGCCAGCTGAAATAAGCTCCTGTCCATTTTCAAGCACTTTTGTTCTAAGGACACATCATGAAGAAAATGCTCTTTTAATCATGATGTCCACTTTTAGATTCTGACAGTACAATCTCTCTGAAAAATCTGCCTTTGAAAACACCACTACCAACTCCAAACCAGACATGCATTTTCAGGAACCAGTATGCTTATAGAAACATTTCAGTCACAAGTCCCCTTTCCTACTTCTTAGTCAAGACAGAAAAAAAAAAAAAACAACCCCCAAAAAAACCCACACTCCCTTAAAGTAAATTAATGCAATTTTGCCAAAAAATATTTTACTCAATTTTATCAGACATCACATAAACATTCAAGACTACTGCTGAGTAAAAAGGTTGCTTTCCTCCAAGAAAATTTTTCAGGTGCATGCCAAAAAATAGTCAATGATTCATGAAGGAATTATAAGGGGAACACAAGAATTTCTATAAAAACAAACAATAATCTTGGAGATTGACGCCAGGTTTCTTGACAATAGTTGTGAAATTGTGGTGAAGATTATTTGGTTCCTTTTGGTAACAGAAGATTCCAATTTTACTTTCACACCTTGTTTGTGGTACTCCTCATTCCCATATGCAAGAGCATACCACACATAACTGCTATCAGAATTCATCTGTAAATACATAAATAAACAAAACATCTTTGGTACAGCCCAGAGATTCGAGGAAGGAAGCAACTACAGTCAGGACTTCATGGCTCTCATCACTATTGGCTTTGTAGTGTTCTAATTTCAGCCCAAGCCTCTTCCTTAACAAGTAGACGACAAATGGAAAACGACATTCACTTCAAAATAAGAGGCATCAGGAGATGAGGCCAATCTCCACTGCTTGCCTGATGCACACACTCAACTCACAAGCTGTTCATTTCTAGAGGGCAGAAGCTTTGATGGGCAGGAGGGATCCCTACCTATGCCAGAATATAGTCCAAGAGACAAAGGGAACAACTTTATTCCACTGTTGCTGTGTCAGACTGCCCCTCAGTACGCACACACAAGTACCTGTCAAAGAAAAGAACATTTCCCACCGGCCTTGCCAACCCAGCTGAATGTGCTAAGAGCATCTATTCTTGTTAAAACTTGAAAAGAAAAGCTTCCTTGTCTAGATGTGATGGAAGAGAACATGGAAAAAGGCAGCTTTGGCTATGGTACATGCAAGTTCATGCTCTATTTTGGTATGCCAAGTTCAGGACTCAAAATTTTCTTCACGCTGAACTGGGGTTTATGAAACCAACACACAGAACAAGAATCTGTTGGATGAGAACTGCTAAAATAAAAACCTACATTTTAGTGCATTTAAAGTAAAAACTGAGTACTTAGTTACCCAGTAAATGAGGATTTCAATCCTTACCTCTGAAGCAGTAGCTGCAATATTAAGACTGCTGGGCTGTCCGTTCATTAGGTCCATACTGCCCACACCATTAATCTTCGGCCCTACATGTGCAGCAGCAGGATCATCTCCAAGGCAACCGAATAACCATTCCTACAAAGGGCAAAAAGGTATCAGAAACCACTTTCTGCAGGGGTTTTAATCAAGATTCAGTGCTTAAAATCCCGAACAAAAATAAAGGATTTCCAAAATGGCTACACCAATCTGAGGTCCAGATTCTAACCCGTATTTTAAAATTACTTACTTAAAACCAACATAAAAAACTGAATGTTCCATTAAGAACCATCAGTTGCTGCCAGTATTGACTTACCATATTCTTTTCCCCTGTTATTTTCTCTATTGCAGGAATCAATATGTAAATATATGCAGTAGCCCTAACAAATTGAGGTCTGCAACATCAGTTCACATACAATGTTTTTCCTTTATTACCAACTTTAAAAAGTATTTTCCAGATGTTAACTCTATTAGGTAACTTGAATAAATATTATCCAATAACTTCCTATCTTATAGGACTCTTCACCAGCTTCAAGTGAAAATTATTACATTGAAAGCAATTAAAAATACAAGTGGAATTTATACTCTTATCCACAAATGACCCAAATTATTGCTTGGTAAAAAAACCCCAAACAGAAAAACACACAAAGGCAAACTCCACACACTGACTTTTAATGCATCCTTGCAATTCTGACTTTCATTTCTGCAGAGAAAATGCTGCAAAGAAATGAAAGCCTTTGGCATCCACTATGAAAACTAGACTACCCAACCCTGAAAGTGTTACAGAGTAAAAATTGGTTAGTGCTAAAATTAATGAGCTGTTAGTGCCCTCTAGTGTGAAAACTATTATAAATCAGCTTCCACGGATCTATGTCTATAGCACATGTAACTGCTTCCAAAGTTGCTGCTGTTTATGAAATTCACTTTTGGTTTGCAGTTTAATTCAGAACTATTGCATGGTCTGAAAATACATGGAGAGTGACAGGTAACTGGGTAATTCCACATGACAAAACAGTATTACAGCAGCTCATACTTAATGCCTGTAAGGAATGAAATAAAATAATCTGCAAAGCTGTATCTCCAAGTGACCTAAACCAAGTAAGTCAGGCAAGCATGGAAGGCAAGAAACTACAATATTTAAATAAGAAAATATCCTAAAAAAACCCCAACAAAGTATTTAAGCAATAAAACATCATCAAATTTTAATGTGTCACCATAAGAATGCACTACAGAAAGAAAAGTAATGAAAGAGAGCAGTGTGGCAAATGTCAAACATTACAGCTTCCAGGTATTTGTGAGTATTACCATCTGAGCTGTGCTTCTGCAGTTCAGGACAGCCACCCACATTCCACCCTTTGTTGTTTTGGAAAAAGTGAGGGAACTGTCTGGTTCACAGGACAGAGGATGCTACATTTCACTTTAATGCTACACTCCCAGCCCATGTGCTTTAATTAACACTGATTCCTCCACTAAAAATGCATTCATCTGCACTTAAACTTTGAGTTACAGACCACATAAAGAAAAAAAAAATCTCATGTCTGGCTTCTGAGTGTCACTGCTGTCCTGTCCTTCCCCATCTCAATTACCCTTCAGATTGTCTTGTGGACTTATAGCCAAATGCACAGCTCCCCAGTGCCTCTCTCCTACAGCTTTTTCATTTACTGAAGGGAAAAGCACAGAAATAAAACTGATGCGTTACAAGTTTCATTTATGTAGTGACAGTAGAGGACAGAGGTATCACATCTTCAGAACTAGATCCAGGCCCTCCACATGCTCAAAAATGGTAAATTTATCCCAAAGTAATCTCCTCTGTTGAAAAAACTCTACCCTTTAAAACTTCAAGGTTTATTTAACCACTGTATTTTTAAGGAAAGTAGATACTTTGGCTTCCTATGGTACAGTTAGGGAGAGTATGAGGAAATACTGTAATCTTAAATTAAGGTTATATATTTGACCCTTGGCTTGGATTCAATTGTTCCCCCTCCAAATACTAATGGGAGGCAAAAAAGAAAAAAATTAGGGACGTCCTTCTGTGCAAGGTAAAATAAAAACCTGAGAGCTGGGTGATTTTTTGGGGGGAAGTATTTGGATAGTGCTAACTGAAAGAAATTACACATATCATAGAAGTTTATGGAATTGGCAGCTCAGCCTCACATCAACAAGAACAAACTAATTCCTCTATCAGCAAATGTTAAAGCCCAGTTTGCTCAGTGATTGCTCTCCCATTACCCACAGGAACTTCCTCCCCAGATTTCCTGACCAACTTTCCACCTCAGAGCATCTGTCTGGAAGGAACAGCAGGGCTGCACTCTGATCCAGGTTCTCCTTTTCCACCTGGTTATTGTGATGGGAGTTGAGAGAACTCTGTCTCTTAGTTAGGTGTGGGCCACCATGCTGAGAAGTGACTTCTAGGAGGCACACAAACACTGGTTTAATTCATATTTTTAATAAGTAGAAAATCACTTAGAAAAATAAAAACCCTCCATGCAAAGGAAATGGAGTTTATAAAATACAACCTTTACAATGTTCTCATGTCTAGCAGATTTCAAAAGTACATCACCACTCCCAGAACAGTCACAGCAACATTGTGACCAATTTTGGTCAATGTGCCACTCAAGACAAATATTGAAAAAATCCTCACACCAGAATAACTAAATCATTTGCTTCCTTCTTCTCAACACCAAAATAATCTGTGAACAGCAATATCAGAAAGTGATCATGAGCAGAGTTCAGAGCAGCACAGCTGGGCCTGTGGAATCACTGTCACCACACTGCAATAGTGAGTCACAGTGCTCACTGCCTACCTTGTATATCCAATTACCAAAACTGAATTACACTGAGTAATTTGAACTTCCAGTCAGTTTCTCCTCTCCAATTTAGTAAATGCCTTTGTGCTCAGAAATGAATTACATGTGGAACTGAGAGTGTTTTATATGATGCACAAAATACCTCAGCATTTATGCCAGCCTGAAGCCTTGACACGCTGTGGTATCTTCCTACCTCTTCATTCAATTCATACTCTACAGTAAAAAGCAAACTAAAAATACTGATACAAATATTCATCATACCCAAACAATGAAAATATCTAGACTATTGCTGTGCTTTAGCCCCAGCCAGCAATTCAGCCCCATGCAGCCACTCACTCACTCCCCCACAGTTGATGGGGGAGAGAACCAGCAGAATAAAAGTGAAAAATCTTGATAGGGAGACAGCTCAGTAGGGAAAGCAAAAGCTGTGTGCTCAAGCAAAGCAAGGAATTCATTAACTGCTTCCCATGGGCAGGCAGGTGTTCTGTCCTGTGCAACAGTGACTTGGAAAGGCAAAAGCCACTCCAGATGTCATCTCTTCCACCCCCTTCCTCCAGATTTATATTATTATATATATGGCCTAGAATAATCCTGTTGGGGTCAGCTGTCCTGCCCATACCCCCTCCCAATGTGTTGTGCACCCCAGCATACCTGCTGGTGGGATGAGGAACAGAAAAGGCCTTGACTCTGTGTAAACCCTGCTCAGCAGTAACCAAAATATTCCTGTGGTATCAAGAGTGTTCTCAGCACAAATCCAAAACAGCCCCACGCTAGATAGTGTGGGGAAAATGAACTTTATCACAGCCAAAGCCAGCACAACACTGTTATAGATACATATTATATTGTTGGCTTTTTGAAATATTAAAATGAATGTTATATGTGTAAGGTCAGAAAACTTTGTTATATTAATATAGTTCCTTCTATTTCTGTTATTGATGAAACTTAGAAATAGTGGTATAATATACATATATGTTTAGCTATGGCATAGCATTAAAACAAAGACTACTTTTGTTTGTACAACCCAAAGACTGAAAAAGATGGTTAGAGACCCCCCTCCATTCTTAGATTATCTTGTCCAGATGAGGACAGCAGTGACCAGATTTCTGGGGGAGGAATTTATTGCATTTCTGGTATCAGGGAATGTAAAACTCGGTGGAGCCAAGAAGATTGATCTATTGGGAAGGGGGTGAGTCAAAAAACTAAACAAAGAAACATCCAAAACTTAAGAAGAATGTTTGAAGATGTATGAGAATTTATGGATATGCAGTAAGGTTCTGTTTTTAATCCTTTGTTAGTAAGGTGTGCTCTCTTGGCTGAATGCAGAGACACCCGGCCGTATCTGTATACTTTATTTTTATCTCCTAATTGTCTTTTTATTAAACTTTTAAATTCTATATAAAAATATGCGAATATGTCGTTTTTCACAACACTAAGCAGGGTCTGTTGCCCCCAGCGAGTTTTTTCTGCCCATTCACCAAGGCTGTGGTGCTGCCCATCCCCTTGCAGTGAGTGCCTGCAGGTCCCCCCGAGGGAAGGCAGCAGCAGGGTGTGCCCGGCACAGCTGCTGCAGAGCCGGCCTGATCTCAGCACAAAGGGGAACAGAGAGTGCCCTTTGTGCTTCAGATGAACAGCTCTGTCAGTGAAGCACATCAACATCCCAGAGGAGTGAATCAACTGGTGCTGCAAATGCTTCTCCCCGAGCTCTTTGTTAAGTGACCGGGGCTAGCTACAGCAACACGGGGGAGCGGTGACAAAACCATTCTTTGGCTCTACGAAACCACAGAAGCAAGGAATTTCAGAGAGCTTGAGCTGGCTTCAACCCACGTATTCCTTCCTGGGGACACGAGCATCGTGACAGTGAGCATACTCCAGGGACCAGCAGTGGGGATCTCACCGGTGTTGTGTTGAAACTGTATACTGCAATTGCTGCGGTTTGCTAAGTTGAACTTGCATTTGTATCTCGATTTCAGCGTATTTTGTATAAATCAGAAATACTCTGCGATATCAGCTATATTCAAATGGTTAATCTAGCATTAAGCATTACACCCTCCACGTGTGGAATATCTGAGAGAACTGAGCAGAGAGTGGTGGACTCTCAGAGACATCTTACAGAACACTTACACATGATTCCCTTCCAACAGATGTTCTTGACTCAGTTTGGGTCAAACACTGTCTCAGAAATACTGTATAAACAGCATTTTAAAAGACAACCTTAAAATTACATTTGAAACTTCCTGCCCAGAACAGTACAAAAGGTTTGGGGAAACAAACACAGTGAAGTTTTAGGAATAG